GATTGTGTGTGAAAACCCCACACTGTACCCCAGAAGTGCATTAATGTACATAGTTACCATTCAATAAAAAAAAATAAAATAAAATAAATCAATGGAACAGAGTTGAAAATCCAGAAATAAACCCATACCCATATGGTCAATTCATTTTTGAAAAAAAAAAAAAGTACCATGACCACTTACTGGAGAAAGAAAAAAATGGTGCTGGGGAAAATGGATGTGCACATGCAAAAGCATGCAGCTGGTTCCTTACCTCCAGCATATACAAAAATTAACTCAAAATGGATCAAAGACCTAAATGTAAGAGCTATTTTATAAAACTCTTAGAAGAAAACAAAGGGTGACACTACATGACCTTGGATTTGGCCATGGTTCTTTGGATAGGACACTAAAAGCACAATCTACAAAAGAAGGATAAGCCATGCTTAATCAAAGTCAAAAACTTTTAAACATCACAGACACTGTCAAGAAAGTAAAAAGACAACCCACAGAATTCAAGAAAATTTTTGCAGATCATAATGTGGCTGGACACAAAAGGACACAAGTGGTGTGACTCCATGTGTGTGAAATGTCCAGAGTAGGAAAGTCCAGGGAGTCTGTGCAGAAGATTGGGTGGGGGGCAGGGCAGGGGGTGGTAGGGGGTGGAGGGTAGTCACTGCCTACTGGTTACTGGGTTTCCTTTGGAAGTGATGAAAAATGTTCTGGAACCATATAAAGAATGTAGTTTGTGAACATACTAGATAAATACCACTGAATTTAACACTTAAAATGATGAATTTATGTTGTGATTATTATCACAGCAAAAATGAAAAGGGAAAATAAAAAGTAGGAAGGAGCATTTAGATGAGAGCCTTAGATTTGTGAGAATTAACACATGTGCCTGTGCCTGTTGGTTCCTGAGCTCCCATAGAGGCCTTGAGCCCAGCCCAGCTCCAGGCACCAGAGAGCTGATCTGAGAAGGAAGAAGGGCCGGACCACCAGTGCCCTGAGCCCCAGACCCTGTGCGCTCCCTGCAGCCGCAGGAGGAGCAACTGCCCGCGTCTCCATTCAGGGGATGGCAAGGATTGGGCTGGACAAGGCCCTGAGTTCTATCACACCCAACCGCCCACTGACCCTCCTGTCCCGGATCCCACACCGCAGTCCAGGGCACCCTGGAGCCTGCGGGAGACTTACTTTCCCCTGAGCACGTGAGCCCGGCATCCCGACTGTGCCCGCACTGGCTCCCGGGACCTCGCGGGCAGTGGAACAGCAGAGACTCATTGCCAGCACAGCGGAACGCCTCTGTCCACGCCAGCCCAGAGCCACGGCCAAAGTGGGCGCCCCCGGGCGTGGACACGGCCGCCCCACACCGCAGCTCTCGACACACCACGTGAGCTGTGGCCAGGTCCAGGTCTGCGTCGCATACGGTGCCCCAGGTCAGGCCCCGCTTCACCTCCAGGCGCCCGGAGCAGGGGTGCTCGCCACCGACCAACCGGGCCTCTGTGTGTCCTGGGGGCAGATGCTGGACTGGAGAGACCACAGCAGGACTGGCTCCCTGCCAGCCTCTGGGTTGCAGGGGAGGATCCCTGCAAGAGGTCACAGGACTCCCTGGCCACCCCCAGCCCCTGGACTGGGGGTGAATTCCCTCCCCACCACTCTGCATCTCCCTGGAGTCCTCACCTGACAGCAAAACTCACCTCTTGCCTGCCCTCTGGGGAAACACAGATCCCCTGGGAAGTTTGCCAGGGGTACATGAGCCCAGCTCCTTTCCTCTCCTTCCCCACCCCCTGCCCCCACACAGGCTTGGGATCCTTAAGCAGAACAGCCAAGACCAAAGGCACCACCAACAGGGCACAGGTCAGACCCTTCCCGGACCACTGCACTGTGGGAATGCAGAAGCATGTGGACACCCCCCCCCTACTGGGGAAAGGAACTTCCATTCACACTAGGGCTACATGGGGATAGATGCCATTATCCCTTGTGTTCATATGAGAAAACTCAGGCCTGCAGAAATGGGTGGGCAGGGTGTCCCTACCTGAGCACACCACCTGAGTGTACACCGGGAGATCACACTGCGCTATGAAGTTTAGGTTCATCTTGCAGTTGAAGATGAGGGACTCCGTTCCCTGGCAGGTCACAAACTTCTGCCCCTTGTCCCCAGGGTCCCCTCTGCCATGAGCTGTGGACCATTGTAAAGCAGAGCCACACCCCAGCTGTCTGCAGAAGACACTGGCCTCCTCCTTGTGCAAGTCACACCTTAGGACAGAGCCAGCTGGATTCACCACCTCAGGGACCCCAGCACAGGGGCTGCCACCGCCGCCCAATCTGACTTGTTGCATGGTACCATCTGTTGGCACAGAGGAGAAATCTGGCCCTTGGAGCCCTCACCCCTTGGCACATGTTCAGGGATGCAACTCTGACGGCCTTGGCCTGACTCAGCCTCCACGGGCCCCTCACAGCTTATCCACCCTGTACCTGACTTCCCCATAGGTGCTCTGGGGCAATAAAGCTGTTCCTCCTAAGATTTCTGGGTCATAGCAGGGCACAGAGAGTGGCACCACAGGAGCCAGATCAGGGGCCCCTGCCATGAGCACTCAGATAAGTAACTTGCATTGTGACAATATTGTGCTTTCTGCACAGCTAGGGTGTATGGGGACCCCAAGGAGTTTTCTGAGGTGGCTCTGAGGATGGAGAGAGACAAAGAATAGCATAGCTTAAGTAGCTGAATTTAAAAACCTAGAGACCAACATTAAAGTGAACAGGAAGGGGGTTCAGGCTTGGAGACAGGCAGGGGAGCCAGAGCCAATTTCCCATAAAGCAGAGAAGACTCCTTGCTGTATTGTCCTGCAGCAGAAGGGAACTCTGAGGAACCCAAGCTCCAAAGGGGGTAGACATTCACATCTGAGCCAGACCCTCCCTCCTACCCTGCAGGCTTGCTTTAATGCCTCCACAGCCTGAGGATGGAGACCCAGGGACTGTAGGGGCTCAGGGTCCCCATCTGACCTACCTGAGCAAGTAATCACTGCCACACACTGGCACTCACAGCTGCTCAGTGGCCCCCATGTCCCGAGGGAGCACTCCCAGAGAGAAGCTTCCTCACCCTGGCAGTGGGCACTGTGCAGCCAAGGAGGCCCTATCTCTTGGGGCCTCAGAACATACTTGGAGGCTGATAGTGCAGGGCCACAGCCAAGCTGTCTGCAGGTTACTGATGCCTCTCCCATGCCCCAGTGGTCCCCACACACAGGGCCCTGGTGGCCCAAGTACTGCACCTGCAAGAGGCCCTCACAGCGGTTTCCACCGCCCAGGAGACTCAGGGACTCCTTCCCAACCAGACCTTGAGGGACAAAAACACAGGTGGAGAAAAGGTTCTGGGAATTTCATTCATAACTTTCACTTTTAATCAAAATTCCCACCTTTATCTCAAATTCCCATACCATTAATACTCTGCATTTTGATGGCATCAAAATGGTTTCTTCAAAGACGTAAAAGTTAGCAAAATTGTGCACAAAGAAACCAGGTAACTAGGTGTGTCCTGTGTTGTGTCATCCCCCTCCCATCTCCCCAGAATGTCCTGCACACCAGGGCTAGGGCCCTGTATATAGCAGCACACACTCACCAGGAGGGAGGGTCCAGCAGGTCACAAGCAGGGGCCACAGCCCCAGTGAGTACAATGCCATGCCTGGTTGCATCTGCTGCTGTGGTGCCCCAGGCTGACAGCACGTGAGTTCTGTCCCTGAGCAGGTGGACTCAGACTTCATGTGACACTTTCTGAGAAGGAAGCCTGTCAGTGCCCTCACTGCCTCCCCCCATATCAGAGCCACCATCTGTCACCTGTGCCTGAGGCCAGACAGCACCAGCAGTGGGTGTGTGGTGAGGCCGGCTGAACTTCCTGCAGCTGGTGCCTAACACAGCCCCAGATGTGACAGAGACCAACCAGGAGCCCATTCTCAGCAAGGCCCTGATGGCCATGGTGCTGAGACCATGGCTGGCAGGAAAGGGATGGGCTTTCTCTGCCTTATACAAATGATGTGGCTGATAACCTAAGGCCTTTCCAAACCCCATGTGAACAGAGAGACTTAGCAATTTGATCAAAATCCTGAGAAATTCACATTCTCTGTGACTAGCATTTGCAAAGGGTACACACCTCCCTGTGAGAATGTGTGTCTGTGGTATGCAAGTCACCTGGTTCAGGTTGGCTAAATAGACTAAGGAACATCTATATAATGAGATACTTGTCTGCCATTAAAATTATGGCTCAAATGTTTTATTTATTGACATGCTAATATATAAAATACATAGAAAAAAATTCCACACAACAATACACTTTGCGGCTCGGCGCCTGTGGCTCAAGCGGCTAAGGCGCCAGCCACATACACCTAAGGTGGCGGGTTTGAATCCCCAGCCCGGGCCCGCCAAACAACAATGATGGCTGCAACCAAAAAATGGCCAGGTGTTGTGGCGGGCGCCTGTAGTCCCAGCTACTTGGGAGGCTGAGGCAGGAGACTTGCTTGAGCCCAGGAGTTGGAGGTTGCTGTGAGCATGATGCCATGGCACTCTACCCAGGGGGACAGCTTTAGGCTCCGTCTCAAAAAAAAAACAAAACAATACACTTTGCAAATCATTTCTTATCTTTGCCAATTAAGTTCTCAAAGGATATACTCCATAATGTCAGAAATATTAATTGCTGGGAGGTAAAATGTTAGATAAATTTTTATTTTTTTCTTGTATATTGTACATTCTAAACATTCTAAAGTGAACAATTTTGTAAACAAAATAATGAAGAGATAGCCCCAGCATAGGCTTGTGAGATTCAGAGCAAAATGAAAATTCAAGGGCTGTCAATGAAAAATTATTAAGAATTTCAGGTAGTGACACAGAGCATTAGTCTTCTAAGCATGTACACTAAAGTCAGCATGGACATAGCTGTGCTGTCAGACCAGGAAGTGGATGTGGAGTAGAGGTGGGCAACATTAGAGATGGGGCAACAGAAAGAAACAGCACAAATGGAGACCCTCACCACAGCCATAGCCTTCCCCCATACCTTAAGCCCATGTCTACTTCAGCTATGGCCCAGCCCCAAATCACTAAAACCAGTCCCAAGGCACCAAAGTCATCTCTCACGGGATCCTAGAAGTTTGTTCTACCTACCTGATGTCTAAAGAATTTTCTGCAAATCCAAATGACAATTTAAAGGATTTCCTTCCCAAACTTCCTGAAAGGGAAGCATTAGAAACACTCCTACTGGGTGTTTCTTTCCAAAACTTCCAGAGAGCTGAAGAGAAAGCAAGCCAGGGAAAGGGGAAAGGGTAAGGGAAAATGTGGCCCTTAATCCCCAAGAAGAAAACTAGAGGCAGGGCCAGAGGGCAGGACAGACAGGGAGACAAAGAGCCACGGGATCTTCTGTTGTCTGAGCCCCCACTGGACACTTGGCCTTTTCTGAGATTAACTTGCCCTGGTCACAGTTTCCACATTGTTCTCCACAAGGCCTAAGCATCAATATCACATTGGCCACTGCCTAATGGTCCACATGGGTCTGCACTTCATACAAATACATGATTTGATGAACAGGTGGAATCCTGCCTGACTTCCAGAGACACCAAAAGTAGACTGGGAGCAAATAATATCCCTGAATTTGCAAAGATGTCGGTCTTCTATGAGTCTGCTCTCCACCAGATCACCATTGAGGGGTACACTCCCCACCATGAAGGTTCACTCCCCACCACAAGGGTCCACTCCCCACCATGAGGGTTCACTCTCCACCAGAGGTGTAGGTCCTCTCCCCACCATGAAGGTCCACTTCCCACCACAAGGGTCCGCTCTCCACCCTGAAAGTCCTCTCTCCACCATGAAGGTTCACTCTCCACCATGAGGTTCACTGTTCACCAGGTCAGCATGAGGGATCCCTGTCCAGCACAAGGGTCTGGCTATGCACTAGGAGAGTCCTGTCTCCATAAGGACACCATGTGGCACCATTATTCTTCAGATCACTTATACTTCCACACATGTGCAAACCTACTCAACACCCACAGAGGGACAGAGATGGTAGGAAAGTATTTCCCAGAGAGGGTGTGATCTTGTAGGTATGCTCATGGATGTGTGTGGTCACAGAAGATTTAATCATGGTGAGTGTGGTCATGGAACTTGGTCACAACTGGGTGTAGGTTTAGATGGATGTGCCCATGGAGGGTGTATTCACAGATGGGTTCAGTGAGAAAAAGTGGTCCTAGTGGGCTCTGATCAGCACCAGGAAATCAGTGAATGTTGCTCTAGGAGGGCACCATCACAAGTACACTGGCTGCATCATCAGAGACCAGCCTGTGCTGGGGATCAAAACCAGGACAGATGACAGAATTGAAGAAGCTGATGTACAAACATTCTACTCAGGGAGGACAAGCCATTCTTGAACATCAGAGTGACCACAAACTGCTTTGACAGAGAACCACACCCAAGACTCAGAACTGTGAGCAAAAGGACAGGCTGAAAGCACACAAAGCCCCCCTCAGACTCTGAGGACACCGTGAGGGTCCATTCTCCAATGGGAGGTACATAATGGTGAGGGGCCAGAAAAGAACCTGGGCCATGGTGGCTTCTGATCAATGTTCCTGGGGTAAAATAAGGACCAGCGAGTGAGTTCAAAGGGAGTTTAATAACAGCTGTGTGAATGATGAGGACAATGAGACCCCAGCCTCCCTGGTATATCCCACTCTCCCCACACAAGGTCAGCTCAGGATCATCATGTCCTGGGGCAGGGCCCACTGTGGTCTTCCATTCCAGCCTGAGCTTCAGGGCCCCACTGGCAAGGGGCCCAACCTGCATGTAAAGAGAGACACCAATGGGGTCTCAGCAATTTCTCAGAGCCCAGTTCTCAGCTCCTGGTTTCTCGCTGCTAAGCCAAGCCAAGCCAACCGCAGAGGGACAAGGGTGGGCACGTGGCACAGTGAGAGTGAGGTTGCTTCTCACTCTCCAGTCCTCCCCACACTGTCTGCTCAGGCCCCTCCCTCGCAGCCAGCGGGACCGAGGTGCTAGGCGGACACTGCACACCTAAAGAAACCCAAATAAAGGACCTGCCACCCCAGACTCCACGTCGACCCAGGGGAGACTCCAGCCCAAGAAGCAGCTGTGAGGAGACAGTGGATATCCCCCCCCCACGCTGCGGGGCTGAGACGGGAGTGAGAGTCACCACACAGGAGAAGCAGCTCTCAGGGCTTTAAATGTAGGCGCTGGGCAGAGCAGAGCCCCCCGCGCAGGCGCAGTACAGCAGCCACAGCACAGAGGACGCCAGGGCGCACAGGTGCACACCCGCCCAGCTCAGCGGCACCCCGGCTGCCTCCTCCCCGGGGCGGTCCTCGTCCTCGGGCTCAGGCTCTGGCTCTCCCGCGTCGTCATACTCCTCCTCCGGGACCCGGTCTGTGGGTGCTGCAGGCCCCTCAGCCTTCTCCCCCAGGGGCATGGCTCCAATGTCCTCATAGACGCCCTCCCAGGATGGGTGCCCGGACATTCTACAACCTGCAAAGCCCACACCAGACCTCCTAGAACAAATGCTCCTGCAATCTAAGCCCACTCTGCCGGGCCCATCTGCTCTCTCGGAAGTGCCAAAAGCCCCAACTCTTGTGCCAACAGACCCCGCAGAGAACAAAGACCCCTGAACTGGGACACAGCTTCCCACAGCACCAGGAGCCTCAAACCCTGGGCTGGGGCTTGTTGGCCACCACCTTTGAACGCACCAGGGAGAGCCATCCACTGTACATCCCTCACAGGGATCAGAGGACACTTAAACCTGTTCTCAGAGCAGGCAGCCCTGGAAGTGTGCATTTTCTTCATTGTGCCCATCCTGGGAGCAAAGCAAGACTGAGATCCAGGGTCCTCGGGTCCCCAACAGCTCGTGGCTCCACAGAGAGTTACTGAGCACTCACCATGGGCAGTGATGAGGACAGGCAGGGCCTGTGATGGCCGGGGTCACACAGAACATCCTCCCCTCATCTGCCCACAGCCTCCCATCCCAGGCCCGTGCTGACCACACCTAGGCACAGCCACCTACCCTGGCAGGCTGCTCTGTGGCGGCACCACTGAGTCCCCAGGAACAGGGAGACCAGGCCCAGGAGGACACCAAGGACGAGGCAGGCTGTCTCCAGCAGGGCCCAGGCCTCAGGGGCAGGTGGAGGGGCCAAGGGAGGGGCTGTGGGAGGCACACAGTGAGAGGCAGGGCTGCCTGTGTCCCTGGGCTGCCTGGGGCATTGTGACCCTGGGTCTGAGGCCCTCAGCCTCCCAGGGAGGGGTGGGGCACTCAGGGAAACTGGCCTCTGGGCTGCCTCGACAGGCTGCTCATCTCCCAGAGAGAGGGATCAATCGGGCCAGGTGGAGGGCCCAGGTGCGACAATCCAGGTGTGTAGCCCCAGGCAGTAGGCACAGGAGAAAGGCGCAAGTGGAGAGCTCAGGGCAGAAACTCCAAGTATCTGGGCCCAGGGAGAGGGCACAGGAGGGTACCCAGGGCACAACTGTCAGTGGCCCCATTGACAGCTCTTATTGTCCTGACTGCCCACTGAACTCATCTGCCCTTTGGATACAGAGCTACAGTGTCCAAGGGGCCACAGCTTACCAGGGCCAACTCCCACCCTCAACCACCAAGGGTAAGACCCCACAGAAGTGGCTATGTGGGACCTAAGGCCCCTGTCCACAA